TAAATATTTTCTTAGATGAAAATACCTGAATACTTCGATTGCGTGAAGCTGTTGGTGTTCGAGGCTAATTGGCTAATTTCCCGTGGGTTTCCACCAATATGAAACTCTTCTAATTCCTTTTTCTAATTTTAACTCGCAAGAACATCTCGTTTCTTTACGACCAGGCTGTGCGGGGCAAGGCCCTGGAGCTCCAGCCCAGACGGACTGCGTAGGCTCCAGGCACCGGGCTATAGACGTGCATCACGGCAAACCGGACTTCCAGGCAGTCGCTATATTTAGCGACATTCCTCTTAGTACACGCCACGCCACGTTGGTCCGACCTGATGTTGATGCGCCTGTCAAGTCAAGGCTCTCTCTCTCTCTCTGCCCTCCCCCCCTCTCTCTCTCGTTGTCCCTCTCCCCCTCCCTCTCACCACAACTTCCATCCTCTTTCACCCGCTCTCTTTCTGCGTCTGAATAACACTTAACCGATTATATCCACTTGAGGTTGGTCTACAGGAATAAATTTATAAAAGGAGTGTAGAGATATAAACCCACGACGGGCAAGTGGAGCTAAAGTTTTTCGACGACGAAAAATAATGCTGATTTCGTCGTGGATAGGGCGCGCATCTGATGGTATCGTCCTGGTGTAGATCTTATAATCCGAGCGACAGCTGCAGTATTGGAGATTCGAATCGGTAGGGTATCGCTGGGATCCACCTCCCCACAGGTGGCCGCCCCAAGTGTGCATGTGTGTATGTATGTGTGTGTGTGTGTGTGTGTGTGTGTGTGTGTGTGTGTGTGTGTGTGTGTGTGCCTGGAAGGAGGGAGACTGCGTTGTTATTTACAACAAACGCACAAGTACTTACACGTTCGCATTTATGCACACTATCTCGACACAAACGGGCAACGTTTGTTAGAGCCCCTGCCTTCGCCCAACGCGCTCTACCATTTCTCCTGCTTTTTCATTTGTTTTACCCTGCCATTTTTGTCACCAACTCTTTCTTCTCAACCATAGACATGTCGTGGGATCAAGCCAGCTCCCGGCTCCTGCAGCCCGTGTTCTAAAAGAGTGCCGGCGGCGAGTCGATTCTTGATGAGAATGCGCCGGCAGGTGCTGGTTACTTGTCAGTGGTTCGCAGCTGCGAGCGCTGTCTGAAAGGGCAGGCTGGCGTGGACTGAGGCCCTACAACGCCTATTTTTAGTCCTGCAAAAAAAAGCACTGACGCTCGCTTGGAGCTGGAAGAGACAGGACACGTGAGACTACACTGTCACAAGTGTCGTCGTTCGTTGTAAAAGTCTGTTCGACTGTTGTACACTGTACGCATATTCCAGAATTCGCAAGTCTCCGAAAGGTTTTTGCGAGGTCGTCGCACCTTTTCGGCCAATTGTGTCTGACGCAACTAGGAGAGGGAATAGGCTCATCCCGTCGGCGAGTTTGTGGAGTGCCGCGGGCTCCTCCTTTGTGATGCGCAGAAATTCTTTCTCGAGAAAAGGTGGGGGGGGGGGGGGGTCGCCCCCGGCTGAGCTGTGCCCAATAGGCGAGATTGGACGACTGGCCAGCCGCGGACAGCGCGGTCCAAAAACGCACATCTGGGCCGCGGGGCCCTCTGTGGGGCCGGGGTCACGGGGTTATCATAGGGCGGGCGGACCAGGACCGCGTGCGCGGTGCGTGGGACCAGCCCAGGACCCAGGCCGGCCGGGGGTGCTGCCCGCCCGGTCCGACTCAGACTGCAGCCTTCCTGTACAGCACCCGGGGCCCATGGGGCCCTCTCATGACGGGCAATCTGCATCGCCAAGGCTAGGACAGAGATGCCGTTGCACTGTTGAGAAGGAATCTCGTGACTGGATGTCGCGACGAGATCTCGCAGAACATAGTGCGAGGTTTTTTTTGGATAGTGTAGAGCAATTTGCCTCCGATGTGAAAGAATAAATATGTTTCTTACCAGTACTCTCAAATCATGGAGGCAGACGAGGTCCCGGATGGAAGGATCCGTACTTACTCAACAAACTACACCCGAACCCGAAAACTGTAGTTATAATACAAAAATACAAACTATGTGTCTTTGGTGCTTGGCCACGGGCCGTAGTATTCGAGCCCGTGACATTTTGTGTAGCGTTGCAGGCCGCAGCAGCAGGGCGCAGTCTGCAGGACGCACAGCGAGCAGCAGGGCAAGGGTCGCGGGACCGGTTTCATGTGCCCCCTTCCCCCCTTCCGCCTCCTCCAGCCACTAGCCTCTCTTCCCCTAGTCCTCCGAGTATGCGAGCGCACCCTCAGTTCGTCGGCAGGGCCTTTTGCACATTTTAAATGCCAACATCATAGTCCTCACTTAAAACTGTTCATAATTCTCTTTGGAGTATTTGCGGAGGCGTTTCTTTAATTTTGCTTTCTGGCAACCTCAACTTCATCAAAAAAACTGTTTTTTCGATTTTAGCACATTTATTTGCGCGTATACTTGATTTTCTTTAGTGCGCCTGTGTTGAGAGCGTCCTACTTCAAGCACAATCTAACGTACATGCACTCACAAAATTAAGCACAAGTGCACTAATACCAAAACACATTTTTTGGAGTGCACGTCTGTGCAAAATGTAGTAGTATTTAGTATCATACATAAATTATTGCCTGACTGGTTTTGCAACTTTCTGACTCCTCTGTGGATAGCCTGTATTCAGAAGAGTATAATCGGTGCTGCCCGGCTAGCGAAACTACTGCGCGCCCCTGCCCGCCTGAGCATAGGCCGCCCCTCGGGCACCATGCCGGATGGCTTGCCTAACCTGCGGGCGCGAACCTCGCACCCACCTTACGGCTGTCACTTCTGTTTCAGTTCCCCGAGGCCGCGGTGGACCTGCGTGGGGGCGGCGCTGAGGCAGGGGACGGCGCTACGCCCGCCCCAAGGGCTTCCCCGGCGGCGGGCAGCCTCCCCCCGGCGATGGACCGCTGCTCGCCGGCAGCCAGGGACATGCTCGGCCGCCTCCTGGAGCGAGACCCCCGGCGCCGGCTGCGCACCCTGCACGCCCTGCAGACCATCGCCTTCTTCTTCCAGTTCAACTTTGCGGACGTGCGGTCCATGAAGGTAAGGCCGCAGAGGCGCGGGCCGGCCCGGCCCTGCACGAGAAAAAAAGAGTAAGCTAAAATTGCTAATGCTTTTGCTAATATGACCTTAGATCACAATAGCTCGTTTAGCTAATTCTTAGCTAAGAGGGCTAACATATTAGCTTCCACAGCTAGTTTCTTTATTTTCTAGACAACTGTTATTGCTAATTCTTTATCTCTAATAATTCTAGGTGAGCTAATATTCTAATCCAAGGCCATATTAGCGAATGCATTAGCTAATTTAGGTTATTCTTTTTTTTGGTGGTGTGCCGTTGCGTTACTCTCGCCGACCTTGAGGTGGGCACAATGGGATCCGCCCCGCAACGTTTTCCTTAACGGGGTGGCTTTTTCCGCAGGTCTGCCCCAGGGACCTGCTGCCAAAGGTAGCACCCGATCGCTCGGCCGCGACTTCCACCGGCGACGTGGACCCGATGTTCGAAGGCTTTGACAGCGTCGCACCTATTTACGTCTAGTTAAAAATAACAGTCGAAATGAGTTTTCTCTCTTAACTTTCCATTTTTTACTTCTTGGGCTATCTCTTTCACTGTTTTATTGAACAGTTCTGCAACGAATTCCGTCCATTTTTGACACTAGAATTTAGTTTGTTGAGGTTACGGGTATGTGAGATTATTTTTTTTGTTGAGTCTTTATGAATTTTACTAGAGATGAGAACTTGAACCGTTCTTTAGCACTGAGTCATTTTCTGCTGTGAAAAAATAAAGTGATCTTATTTATAGTGTGAGAGCGAGTGTGATCCTTCGCACATACTCCATTCCCTACACGGAGTATAGCCGACTGGCTCTATCCCTCGCTGTCACTTTGTAGATACGCCGTGCACTCCTCGTAGGCGGACCTGGACCACCCGATCCGTTGGCTTAGTGAGAATGCCCATTTCTCTATTTACACTTTATATTTTTGGTCTGTATCATTTCGTTTCTATTTACACAAATACAATTATTTCTTCTCTACACCTACTATAGTTGCAGGCTGCATCTCAAGATGTACACACGTAACAATTGACACACAGAGCGAGAATCAGAGGTTTTGCGAGTGTTGTGGGCAAAGAACAAACACAACTATGATCTTTACGGCAAGGGCCGCGGCCGGCGCGGTGGACTGGATCCTATATAACACTGTCTAAGGGTATCTCTCTCTAGTACTCTGTAGCGCAAGAAGGACAGTACGAGTAAATAGTGAGCAACACTAGTGGACTAGAGATTTAACCGTTTTACACTATCTCTACTTCACTGTCTACACGTCACACAACTAAACTGCTGGGTTGTGGATTAAAGGGTATATATATCTTCGCGAGACGTTTCTTTCAACTTCTAGAGCAAGAGGAAGGAGAGGAAGTGCAACGTGATAGTGCTTGAAACGACGGCTCGTCCGTCAGCGTCTTCGCCCACTTGACGCGGTTGGTCTCCGCCCGCTCCCCGTTCTTGGGGGGTAAAGTGTCTTTAACCCGACGGCCGCCATGGCCTCGGCCACGTTATTGTCCTTGGGTCGACGGCTGCAGCCCGCGGCGTTGCTGCTGCAGCTGCAGCAGCTGCTGCTACTGGTTGAGGAAGCTGCTGTTCTTGGTGAGCAGTCCGGCGGAGCTCTCCGACATGGGGATGACGGGGCCCTTCTGGCCGGCGGGTATCTTGGCCTTGCACTTGAAGTCGGGCCGGAGGCCGCGCAGCAACCGCTGCAAGGAAACACGCGCACGTGCGGGTCAAAGGCCGTTCCAGGGACACTTTTCTCAACCGTCAAACCCCTCAAATTAAGACGTCTGCCGAGCGTCTGCCCTTACCTCTTTGAACGTGCCCTTCGACTTGATCATGTAGTACACGGCGTAGGCGGGGATCCACACCATGGACGAGAAGCTGATGGCGATGCCGATACCTTGCGCCCACATCGGGTACATGTAGTCTTTGCCGTACGTCAGCGGCTGGTACTGCAGGACGTAGAAGACGAAGATGGCCTGGCGGCGGAAGAGAGAGACGTGAAAGCAGGTGCCGGGCGACAAGCATTGGTACGTCCCATTGTACATCGGTATACTGGCACAAGAAACTCACCACCATGACGGCGGGGGCGAACACGACCCAGCAGGCGTACCAAAACTTGTTCACCTCGACGCCCATCATGGACTTGATGCAGGCGCTAAAGTTCTTGGCGCCGAAGATCCAGCCGATAGCGATGGTCTGGAAGAAACAGACCCACAACAGGGACATGCCGGACACCGAGTAGAAGTCCATCAGCTGGAAGATGTACGCGCCGCCCTGCGGAGAGATAGAGCAGGCAATCAGGAAATGTGACGAGATGGTCTTCTGTATATTGGAGCTGCCCTTCACGACGACACTCACGTGCGTGACCATGGGCAGGCCGAGGAGGAACATGAGGCCGCACATGGCGGCCGTGAACTTCTTCCGGTGCGTCTTGAGCACGGGCCACTGGTCGGCCAGCCCGGCCACCAGCGCCTCCACGATGCAGAACTCGCTGTCGATGCCCAGCACGACGAGCATGGTGAAGAAGACGGCGGACCAGACGGGCGCGCCCGGCAGGCGCAGCACCACCTCCGGGTACGTGAGGAACACCAGCCCCGGCCCGGACGTGACGACGGAGGCCACGGACGTGCCCTTGCCCAGCGCCACGTGGCCCAGGATGCTGAAGGTGACCACGCCCGCCACCAGGCTGGTGAGGGTGTTCACCACGCAGGTGATGAGCGCGTCCCTGCAGAGCGTGGCACGGTTTTTACACGATTAGAGAAACAAAATGGTGATGTAATTATGTACAGTGTGGGTTATATTTTGCGGAGATGCGGGGCGCTCCGTGAAAGGTCACCGGTCGTGATGATATAACCTTGCTCCGTCCGACCGGGGCGGGGGTGTTACGCAGCAGCAGATAGTAATTACAATGTACAGGGGTGGGAGGTGGGTTGACCCCGGGCGGGTTGACCTGAGGTGGGGGTAATTGATATATCTGATGGTGGCTTTAATTAATTATGTGACCCAATGACCTGCCTGGTGGGCCCTGGCGCCCATCATGCAGGTCAGAACAGTAATTGTGTTTCATAATGTAATTTGTATGTCACTGGACCAATTTAATCCCACCCCGTTCTTACTTGTAGCTGTTGTGGTTGTAGGCGTTGTAGGAGCCGAGCGTGGGCAGCGCCCCCATGCCGATGGAGTAGGCGAAGAAGATCTGGGTGGCCCCGTCTATCCAGGGCCCGGGTCCGAGCAGCTCCTCCCAGCGTGGCGTCACGTAGTAGAGCAGCCCGTCGGACGCGCCCTCGAGCGTCACCGAGCGCACCAGGAGCACGGCCAGGATGGCATAGGGGAAGAGCGCCGTGAACCAGATGATCTGCAGGCAGGACAAACAACGCATTTTTTTACTCTTCGACGACCGGAGGTAAGAACGGCACACGAAACCTTGGCATGACTTTTGCACTCAGGATAGTAAACAAAATATCTAGGATTAAAATACACAAGATTTGTGTATATAACCCCCGACGAGATATCGACCCAAACTTTGACCTTATACCTTGCCGCTCTGGTGCAGACCGCGGTAGATGATGAAGTAGACGAGCACCCAGCCCAGCGCCAGGCACATGAACAGCTCCCACTGCATGCCGCCCAGGTCGTGGATGCCGTCGGTGATGTGCAGGACGCGGCGACTGTGGCAAGGTGCATAATAGACTCGGGTGAGTACAACGGACCGGAAGCCGCAGAAATTTCCGACACAAAAAAAGAAACGTCATCGGAACCATACGCTCGGCCCTGGCAGACAGAGATACTCACTCCCAGTACTCCTCGACGGGGGAGGACCTATTGCCGTGGTCCGTGCCGTTGAGCGCCGCGTGTAGGGTGCCGTTGGCGCGGTGGTCGTAACAGCGCGGGGTGTTCCACTCATTGTCTGCGGAGACACAAAGATGTTGTCATTGGAGGGGACTTGGGAGGGGCCCCGCCCAGCGGCCGCCTGTCGGGTAGGCAGACCCGGCGCGCACGTGCGGCGCGCTGGCGTGCCCACCCGGCGGGCGCTCCGCTCCGTGGAGCTGCGGGACTGGGCGGGGCGGGGCTCTATAGGAGGCGGGGCACTCACCACAGCTGCTCCACGGCAGCTCGGGCAGCGCGATGAACGTGGTGATGAGGTAGTACAGCGTCCAGGCAATGATGATACAGTAGTAGATGTCGAGAAAGAAGACGAGCGTCATGGTGGCGTAGCCGACCCCTGCGGGTGACAAATGGACGGGGTGTTGGTATGGGCAAACAGGACATGTCCGCGAAGGGGATCGGTCTCAACACAGGGCGTTACCTTGGAGTATGGGGCAGAGTTGGCCGACCAGGGTCATGCCGCCGGAGCCCAGGTACTGGCCGATGGCCACCTCCTGGAAGAAGATGGGCACCCCGCAGAATACCATGGCGATGCCGTAGGTCACGAGGAAGGCACCTGCAAGGGAGAGAGCGACCGTCAAGTGATGGGTTGCACCGCGGCGTATAAGTCATGGGCGTATTGTACGTCCCCAAAAGAGATGCAAGAAAACAACATTCAAACTTTCAAGTACAAATTTCAAGTAGAAGTATTTCATTGGAAGTGTCATTGAACATTTTCTCCGAAATTAACGAAATAACTGTTTCTGACAATTGCTATGTAACTGGAAAATGTACATGTTCATGATGTCATGTCTGCGAGCTCACCTCCGCCGTTCTTGTAGCAGAGGTAGGGAAAGCGCCAAACGTTGCCCAGCCCCACAGACACCGATATGCAGGAGAAGAGGAAGTCTAGCTTGTGGCCCCAGCCGGGGCGCTCCTCGTGGGGACCCCCGGGGCCCCCGGGGCCAGCAGGACCTGCAGCGGGGGCGGCGGCGCCTGCAGGACCGCCGCTGTCCGCCGCCGTCACCTCTCCTGGAGCAAACAAAGAAATGTCGATGACGTGGGGAATCTTTTCGAGTACAGTCGAAAAGTATTTTCATTTTCCAAACTTACGACTTGGTGCAGATTTGGCGGAGAACTCAATGAAGGTCTGGTCGGGGTCCACCGTCTCCTTCTCCTCACCCCAGTAGTACATTTGTTCCGACATTTTGACCGGGGGACACGGTTCTGAGGAAAGAGAAACATCGAGATAAAAACGGAGATTGGGTTGTTCCTCAAGCGCCCTTTACGCAGCTCGGGTGGCGCGGGAGGTGTTCTGCTGCCCTTGCTCAAGGTTGCGCGGTGCGGGCCGCCTGGCCCAGACTGAGTCGCACATCTGCCCCCCCCCCCTTCCCAATCTCCCTCTGCCCCCACGCCCTCTCTCACTCCAGCTCCAGTCAAGGGCAGAAATAGTACGGGGCGGATGGGGCGGATGGTCCCTGGGGCCTCGAACTGCTGGTGGATCGTCGATTAAAAATAGATTCCTACTCTGCGGACAGGGAAAGGATGGTCGATTGAAAATGGAAGTAAACAGTATTTTTTTAGAATGTTTAAAGTATTAGTCAGTTGATATTTCGCATTATTACCCGGACGAATGTTGATGTGAGACGTAATTAGAGGGTCTTCGGCGTTATCGAACGACACATCTCTTGCGTCAAAACTACAGCAACCAACACTGTCGATTTTTTTTTTACAGTCGAGTAAAACTTTGTTTCGCATGTGACAAGTGACAGCAGTGCTCTTGGTATCCTGTCCTGCTGAAACCGGCTGGCGCCCTCCAGTGCCAGTCACCGCCCAGCCCAGGACACAGTCGAAGAGAGCAGCAGCAGTGCCCTGCTCTAGGCCCAAGTCCCAACCTCCCCCATCACGGAGTGCGACAGTACTGCCCTACTGTACTTGGAGGTGGAGGGAGGAGGAGAGAGAGAGAGAGAGAGAGAAACAGGGAAATTGGTAATAATGGGAGTTAGGGGGATGGTGAGATTCTCCTTGACACACGGCCCTAAATTTTATGAAACTCTAGCGAAAATCGTTAGGTCAGGCGTTAGGCGAGGCGAGGCTCTGGGGTGGTGGCAGGGGAGCGTTGCTCCGGCTCTCTGGGAGGGCCTGGGCGGGGCCCGACCGAGCCACGCGCCTGTTGCTGCTGAGCGAGGTGCGTCGCCACGCACTGGAGTCTTCCCGGCAGGGCGGGGGGCGGGTGCGGAGTACCCAAGGCCGGGTGACGCAAACGGGGCCCCCCTCCTGGACCTCCGCAGGAGCCTACCTGCCCCGGCTCTCTCTCCCTCTACCTATCTCTTTCTTTCCATCCCTCTTTCGCTCACTCTTCCCTCTCTCGTTCTCCCTCGTCCACTTTTACTGCGGGACTTGCCTATCGCCCACCTCCTTCGTACTCTCGCAATGCGTCTGACACACCCTTCCCCCCGCGCGATATCTCTTTCTCGCGCTGCGACGTCACTATGGGACATAAGAAAGGGGCAAAGGGGCAAACAGAACAGGCAAGCGAAAGCGAGAGGCTTGGGGGTGGGGGTAGCGGGTAGTGTACGGGTGGGGAGGCACACGCACTGTAAATCGAAAAGGCATGTTTGGCACCCTAAATGTGGGTGAACAACTTCTCGCCTTCGGAGGGCAACATTTTTTGTTGCCTTTCTGTAAAGGCAACGTCCCCTGCCATATCAGCAGTCCCAATGTGCCATCCCGGTCGCTACTATTGTTCCCTTCCCGTGGTAAGCCGCGTGCACCACGGCAGGTAACAAAGGTCCCCCCTCCATG